AATTGTAGTGGATAAAATGGTCAATTTTTCCGTGCAGTACTGTACGGATTATACGCTCCTCACCGGTTAAGAGTTTGGCCGAGAGTTGTCTCCTTCCTTTTCTGGCCTAGTGCTGTTCTTTTCTACTTTGCGCCGGTCAAACTGAAGGTCACATCGCTTCAGAAAGTAAACGAAGTATAGAAGCCGAGATATAATTTAATGAAAACGATGAACATCGGAACATGTTAATTGTAATGCAATAAAAGTTAGCGAAACATTATAAAATAAACAATTTTTCCATAAATAATATGAAAAGATAGATTACTGGAATACATTTCTTATTGTTTAGATATTATTATAAAGTAATTGTTGCACACTCTGTAACGATTATTAAATGTTTATACATCCTAATGAAGGACATTTACAATTACAATGATTTCTGCATTCACTGTCACGTACCTTCTTTTAATTTCATTAAAAATTACCAGAGACGCAACAATCAAGTTATGGAAATAGTGGAGGTACGTGTCCAACCAGTCTTAGGACTGATGACCTTATGATGATGATGATGATGAGGCGATATAAGTTAGTAGGACATCTATACCAGACATGAAGACTCATACAGGAGTTCAGAGAGCCAGAGCTAGGACTAGACCAGAAAACTTTACAAATAGTTAAAAATGCAAGTTGCTCTAGTTTTCCAGGAATGTGAAGGTTGGCTCGAGATAGGAAGATGATTAAACAGGAATATCGTGATAATTTTTATGGGACATAAAGACTAGGCTTTTAAGTAATAAAATTAAAAGAATTTGATCAAAATCTATACAATAGTAGTAGTACTAGATGCGCGCACATCAACACTTTAATTAAGGATTCATACTTTCCGACAATTGGAATTTTGCCTTTATCTGTACGTACTTCTGAAGTGGTATGTTCTTCTGTTGACTCTTCTTCGGCTTTTAAAACCCTTCCACCCCTCGTATCGACAACAACCTGTCCTTGATTGTCCACAGGAACGAGAGAAGTCTCCTCCATTGACATTGAACTATCTGGCAGCTCTACTATAGTTACGTTGGAAGAATTTGATTTGTGATCCTGGTTTTCTTTTCTTCTAAAAAGACAAAACCAAAGAGTAAGTATTTGGTAGATTAGAACATGTCACTAAAGGATGAAAAATAATATATAAATTTATCGTGCATCAAGGATTTACAAGTAGGTAACGATAAAATGGGGAAAATGTAGTAGTAAAGTTCNTGACATCGGGCAGGTTGTAGAGGCACAAGTGCGTGCAATATAAATTTCACGCGTTATCTTCGTAATTGGCGGGGTTTGACTAGGAACACTTTACTTTTGAAAGCGTTAATAACATGACCGGTAGATTAATAAACGGTCGAGTTAATTAACGTCTTCATAATTAAGGAAGACTCTGGAGCCACTTTATCGTGTTTGCTAATAACTACCCGGGCAGCTTAAAGTTACTTTAATCGGGAGATGCGTTCTACATTACTTATAAGGATTAGTTGCAAATATTAACGCGATCTTTACTATTTATCCCACTAAACCGTTGCATCGTAAGCGAAAATAATAAAAATTACAATTTGGACCCGAATTTGTAAAAATAAAATTCCAGCAGAAATAAATTTACTAGGTATTTTATTTGACATTGCAAATTTAATTGTAATAATTAAAACACTTGAAATAAGTATCAAAATTGAGTTTATTACAAGTTACCTAATAAATTCTACTATTTCTACGGCAAATTCAGGCATTTACAACCGAAAATTGCAATTTTTACGTTGTCATAAAAATTTAGTTTTCTCCGTGTGTTCGTTTTGTTTCAGTAACAGTACAAACAGGGATTACAGTTTACAAAATAGGAGATATTCGCTCAAAAACAAGTTAACCTTTATAATCTGTGAATTGCGTTTCGTAGTAGTGGATATCTAGTCAGAAAAATATGAGTAAGCTATTTCGCTTGTAGGTATATTTCTCTTATTGTTCAGAACCCCCGCTAATTAAAATCTAAAATACGATTCAATTATTTATTTGCAGCTTTTCTTTTCCCTTAAAGTATTATGAATTAATACTTTCAAGGCATTGTAATCAAGTTTAACCAAAATGTAAATTCCTTATTTTTGTAATTTTGTCGTCTAAGCGTATGAAAATTTTAATAACTTGCTATTAAATAGGAAATATAGTTAGTAAACAGTAGGAA